AGAACGAACAAAGACTTGCAACAAAAGTCAAAGATAATAAAAAAAGTTTTTCCGAAACTTAAATAACAAGAAAAAAAATCAAGGAAACAATCGGTCCACTAAAGAAAGAAGATGGTAAGGAAGTAACAGGCAACAGAGAGAAAGCAGAGTTGCTTAACTCATTCTTTGCATCTATCTTCACACAAAAAGAAACTATAACCCAACCTGCCAAAAACATAACTGTAAAAGACAGACTAGAAATAAAAGTTAAAATAAGCAAAAAAAAAAAAATAGTAAGAGAACACCTGTCTGATCTTGATGAAAACAAATCACGGGGGCCTGATGGATTACATCCCAGAGTTTTAAAGAGATGGCAAAGGTCATCTCAGAACCACTGCACCATATCTTTCAAAAATCCTGGAGCACCGGGGAACTACCAGAGGACTGGAAAAGAGCTGATGTGGTTCCCATCTTCAAAAAAGGAGAAAAACAGACCCAGCCGACTACAGACCAATCAGCCTAACCAATCAGCCTAGGAAGATACTGGAAAAGATAATAAAAAAAACAGATCTGCCAACATCTAGAAACAAGTAAAGTAATAACTAGCAGTCAGCATGGGTTTGTTAAAAACAGATCGTGCCAAACCAATCTTATTTCATTCTTCAACACAGTGGCTAAATTAGTAGACCAGCAAAATACTGTGGATATAATATATTTAGATTTCAACAAGGCAATACACAAAGCGGACACACCTACTTCTTAGTAAACTAGAAAAAAGTGGGATAGATAGCATCACCACCAGATGGATTCTCAACTGGCTGACAAACCGTACTCAATGAATAGTCCTTAATGGGTCTAAGTCTACATGGAAGGAAGGAAGCAGTGGGGTGCCACAAGGTTCTGTCTTAGGCCCAATACTCTTCAATATCTTCATAAATGACTTAAATGAGGGAATAGAAGGGGAACTTACCAAATTTGCAGATGCTACTAAGCTGGCAGGAATAGCTAATACCCTAGAAGATAGACTCAAGATCCAGATGGATCTTGACAGACTTAAACACTGGGCCCTATCTAACAAAATGAAATTCAATGTAGAGAAAAGTAAAGTCCTACATTTAACTTTCAGAAGTCTTAAAGATTGAAAAGGGTCCCTTGAGCGCCCAGAAGCTTTGTGGTTCCCATTTTGCCCATTTGACCTTTTCCTCAAAAATGTCAAAGAGAGAACAAAAATGTTGGCCAATCTAATCTGGGAATCAGAATAAAGATGGCATAATAGATAACCAATAGTTTCCAACTGAACATAATATTCATTCAGAACCTATGCACAGCTAGCTTTCAAACAGTTGAAGGAGATTTGGATTCTGTCAAAAATCGTTCAAAAATTTAAACAAGAATAGCTGATCTTTTTTTTTTAAAAAAAAAACCTTTTGTACTTGCTTTAAAGGTTGGAAAATATCTAATATGGCTCTGATATTTAAAAGAAATTGTAAGCAAGCTAGGTCAACATCTGTTACAGAAAAATGGTTGTTAATATACAATAAAAATAAGTACAAATATAGAAGAATAAGCTTTCTTCAAAGAAAACTACATGGCTTTTACAAAGATAAAGCTGTCTTGCCTTCTAGATTTTTTGATGGTTTCAACAATTATGCACACAAGAGCATTTCAGCATATGTCTCATGTATGAACTTTGTAAAGTAGCCTTTGACAAAACCTTTTACAAAGACCCCCAAACAAACTCAGATGTGGAATAGTAGTATGTTGAGTTAAGGTTACATTCAAAGTATTGAATATAAATGAGCAGAACAATTATTCTTGTGAGAGATGCAATGAATGGATAAAAACAAGATTGAATAAGGTCTGAAATGGGGAGAAAGGTTAGGTTGATGTTCTCAAAAGGGTGAAGGGTGATATATAAACATCCAGAAGACTGAATAGATGTTTTTTTTAAAAAAAAAAAATGGAAGATTTGGCATGGATCTGAAATGAACAAATAATTCAAGGATCTATATGAAAATGAGAATGACATATTGAAGAGTGGAATTGAAAATAACGTGATTATTTTGTATTGTAAAAAAGGGATGAATATGAAATAATAAACGTCATGAGAATGGTAAGACTTCAGGTCAAATATCCAAAGAAATAGTAAAATATTAAAATATGGATGGGCTTTGCCTGAAGAGGATAGGTGTGATTTGTTCAACATAGAAGACTGCATCTATGCCTCATGACTGGAATACTGTTAATTACTGTCCTAATCTATAGAAAAGGAATAGTAGCAAGGGGGAATGCAAAACAACAACAACAACAACAACAAAAACCTACAAAAACTGCAAGAGATTTAAACTATTATATGTGCCTGGGAAAAAGTTTGGTAGATTCCCAATTGAAAGGGCACTCTATGTCACGATGTGCAATACTTTATGAATATAGCTATGGCTTTATAAATGTTTAGCTGCGTTTTTATTTTTTATCTGAAGCTCTTAATGACTTTCTCTTAGTGTTTCTTGTTTTTGCACAACACTCAATGGAAATAGTGTGATACATGGGTATGTCTGTGTGGTAGATGCACTTGAACAGTGGAAGGTGTATATCATTCAACCCAGATCTGTGCATTCTCCAAATGCAACCAATTGGCGCCCTTGTAACACAGATTTCTAGACTAGATGGAACAATGGCCTGATCCACCAAAGGTACTTTCTATGTTCTTACTGTTGGAACCAAGAGGCTACTCATCATTTCAATTTACTTCCTCTGAGGAAATGCTATGGTAGTATTTTTGGAGCATTGAGGAAAATGACAGAAAGCTGTCAAGGGATCAAAGAGCCACCCAAGCCAACAGTATCCTGAAAATACTAAACTCTATTATCTGGTAAGTATTAACCTAATACTAGAGAATGAGGCTATACTACTACAGAATAATCTCACTGATGACATTAGGGCCTGGAAGCAAATATACTTTGTAAAACCATTACAATCTGATGACAAGGACAGTGGTGGGATTCAAATATTGTTGCCACCGGTTCAGTGGGCGTGGCTTGGTGGGCGCGCTTTGCACACATGCACATACTTTGCGTGCATGTGTGCGTCAAATGTGCACTTAGCGCAGGCGCAGAGGCGTTTGCGCAGGGGCAGAGGTGTTCTAACTCACCTCCTGCAAGCCTGCATGATCCCGGTGGCTTCAGCAGCTGCTGCGCGGCCAGGGGTGGGATTCTACCAGTTTGCACCTATTCGCTAGAAGCGGTTGTTAACATTCTAAGCACTTTGGAGAACCGGTTGTTAGAATAAATTACTGGGCTAATCCTGTAAGGAAGGCAGGAAGGAAACATTCTGGTGTTGATTACAGAAACTGCCTCTCTGTTAACCCTTATTACATTCTTGGCAGGACTAGACTTCCTGTCTCAGGAACTTCTGTGGAGTTTTTTTCCCCTCCTTTGCGAGTACTTTGCTGGTACTTTGCTTGTGTGGAGTGACCATTCAAAGTTACAATGGCACTGAAAAAAGTAACTTATGACCATTTTTCACACTTACAACTGTTGCAGCATCCCCAGTCATGAGGCCAGGCGAGGAGATGCGTGCCTCGATGTGAGTGCTGTTGAGTTGGCCACGCCCACCCAGTCACATGACCACCAAACCATGCCCACCAACTAAGCCACGCCCACAGAACCAGTTGTTAAAAAATTTGAATCCCACCCCTGCGTGCGGCACTATTCTGTGCCGTGCAAAGCAGCTGCGCTTCAAATTCAGCAGATAATAGTATGGGAGCCCAGGCGGTGGGTTGGCCCAACAGCAGAGAAGCAGAGAGAACCGATTCGGTCTCTGTTGCTCATCACTCCTTCCAGCTCACCAGAACCGGGCCGAACCAGTCCAATACCACCACTGGACAAGGATGACATGAATCTATGAATTTATCTCATACCCTATCTAAACATAGCTCCATGTCCTTATACTGCTACCTTGGAGGGACTTCAGCTCTCTAATAACTTTATCAGAGATCTGCCTTAATTCTGTCTGTTTTAACTAGAGATGCCAGAAGCTAATCTGGGAAGAAAGAAAGCATGTTGCTTTCTTTTGACTTTCTGAAAGACCTGGCCCTGTCAGTGGAGGCAGTAGTGGGATTCAAAATTTTTACTACCGGTTCTGTGGGCATGACAGGAGAAGGATACTGTAAAATCCCCATTCTCTCCATACCCTACTAACCTGCTTTCCAGCTCCATTCTCCTGTGCAGGGCAACAAAAGAAGACCCAGCCAATCAGCTGGGACTCGGGAGGCAGAGAAAAGATGGGGGGTGGGGCCACTCGGAGGTGGCATTTGTGGTTCTCCAAACTAGTCAAAATGTCTGTTACCGGTTCTCCAGAACTGGTCAGAACCCACTGAATACCACCTCTGGATAAGGGGAATATCACTGGAGGTGATTGATCGACCAATACCCCTCCCTGGGTATCTGTGTAAAATGTTGTAAGCTGCCCAGAATTGCCTGCTGGCAAAATGGGCAGCAAATAAATTTAATAAACCTTTCCTAACCTGAGCATTACAAATATATTGGAAATGAAATTCCCAACCTTAATATTCCACTAACATGTTTTTCAGGACAAGAGAAGTTGTAGATATAACATCCAGAAGGGTTTTAGTCTCCAATGATTAAAAAGAAACCAGAAACATACTAAGGGCTATGAGGACAATGTAAAACAAAAGATATGACGATATTGTTTTAAACAGATGGTATAATCATGTTTGCATACTAAGAAGGAAGCTAGAAAGACAAAGCATCCAAAGCTTTGAACTTGGCTTGTTTTATTAAGCATTTCCCACAAAATGTGAGACAAAACCTCACTACCTATGAATCTACTTTTTAGTGAGTGTGCTAATAGGCAGACGTTAGGATAAAATATTTATTTAGCAAAATATAGGTTTCAGCACTGCCCTTCTGTACATCACAAATAACATTGTTTTAATCGGTTGGTAGATTCGTTCCCAGCATAGTCTTTCCATTTTTATCAAAATGCTTTTAAACAAATCACCGAGGAAGAATTATTTTATTGTTCTTCACTGCTTTTATGCAAAGTAAAAGTTGAGTATCATGAAACAGATGTGAACTCGGACACTTATTTATTGAAATAATCATTGTTACTAAGACTGGGAAATTGGTCTCAGCTTCAGGCTGACTTGTTTAAGTGAATACCAGGATCCTTTCCAATTCATCCATACAACTCCATCATCTGTTCCATGTTTTGCCATTTCTGGAGTGTAGTGTCCACCCCAGTAGTATCTGCCATTTGGATTGGCTGAATGACAACGATTATACCACCAGCCACCGCCATCTTCTTTGGAGCATTGCTTTTTGGGATCTGGGTGTATCCTGTGAATTAATTACACAAAACATTTAAAAGAATATATACCCATAACTGAAATGTAAATACATATTATGAATCTTGCCTTTAATGTGTGTACATATTTTTTTGTGACACACATAACAAAAAAGAAATATTCTAGTTTTGGCTTCTTTGATTTGAGATGTTGCACTTTTAAATATCTGTATGTCCCAATAAATTGGATTCATTTCGTATTTACTCTGCCTGAAACCTTCTTAAATCCAAACAAAACAAGTATTGCTTTAAGGTAATTTTTATATATAAAATAGTAAATTCAGAAACAGTTACATTTTAATCAGATAAGATTATTTCTTTCTTTTAATCAATATAGCTCCTCTAGGAGATCAGTTGTAGTTTTTGACAATCTTTTCCAAATACAAAAGCAACACTATACACGTCTAATAGAGAGTTAGAACCAGGGGTGGGATTCTACCAGTTTGCACCTATTCTCTAGAACCAGTTGTTAACATTCCAAGCAGTTCAGAGAATCGGTTGTTAGAAGATATTCCTGGCCTAATCCTGTAAGGAAGGCAGGAAGGAAACATTCTGGGGTTGCTTATAGAAACTGCCTCTCCGTTGACCCTTATTACATTCTTGGCAGGACTAGACTTTCTGTCTCATGAATGTCTCTGGAGTTTTTTCCCCCTCCTTTGCTGGTACTTTGCTTGTGTGGAGTGACCATTTAAAGTTACAATGGCACTGACAAAAGTGACTTATGACCATTTTTCACACTTACGACTGTTGCAGCATCCCCACAGTCATGAGAGGCCAGGTGAAGAGATGCGTGCCTCGATGTGAGTGATATTGAGTTGGCCATGCCCAGCCAATAACATGACCCCCAAGCCACGTCCACCCAGTTACATGACCACCAAGCCACACCCACCAACTAAGCCACGCCCACAGAACCAGTTGTTAAAAAATTGAATCCCACCCCTGGTCAGAACGGTGATGGCATTGAACTAAGATCAAAGAGAGTCCATCTCAACCATAGAAACTCATTAGATAATTTTCATCCAGTCACTTTTTCCAACCTAATTTGTCCCATAGATGTGCTGGGGAGAAAAATGGAGGAAAGAATACTGTTTATCCCATCTTGAATTCCCAGAAGAAAAATGAGATAAAAATTGGACAAATCATATGTATATTTTAGAAATGAATTTCACTGAGCTTATTCACAAGGAACTTTAGAAAAAAATTCTGTAGGAGGAGGATTTGCAAATATATTTCAAAGATTTTTTGTAGAAGTGCTACATAAAAATAAAAAGAAACCAAGTGGGGAAAAAATGCTTACCATCCATCATTGTCCCTGTCAAAAGTGCTGAAGAACATGCCATTATGGATTGTCATTGTTCTGTTTTCACCAAATAGTTGTGAAGCTCCTTCTAAAAGTGCATTTCCGGCTGTGCCTCTGTAGTTACTAATGGAGAGCTGGTATTTGTTGTTTTCGTTCTGAATACTGAAGCCTCCATAGTGAGCTTTAACTTTAGTGCCATCCCAATCTTCAAGTTCAATTAAAAGTTCAGTAGGCCCCAATTTGCTAATCTGGTTGATTTTATCGTTTCCAAGCCAATATTCACCTAGGACACAAAATAAATCCCTTGAGGCTGTTGTCATTAAATCTTAAGCAGTGTGTTCACCCTGTCATAAAGCCACATCATAATAACTGAACTGAAGTCATTCTGGATATATGAAAAATATGATTTATATGTCTTTATTTACCTTTTCCAGTATTCTGAATGCATACTTAAAAGAATGGCATGGCAACTTGCTGGGCACTGGTGACTTGAATGTTCTTCTTTATTGAGGTCAAAGCAATTTGACAAAGACTTTTTCTAAGTCTCAACTCCTTTTTTATATTTTGTGACCAGAACTTGATGCAGTATTCCAAGTATGGCCATATTAAGGCTTTGTAAAGTGGTACTAATACTTCACAAATTACACCAGAGCAACTATGTATAGTATTACTGACAAGGAAAATTGGCTGGTACCGTAGTAAAAAAGGGAAAAAAATGTTTGGTAATATGAAAACCCAACTTGAACAATTTTCTAAACAGTTAACAAATAATGATAGCAAAAAAACATAGAAATGCAAGTAACTGGAGTAAATGCAAGTAAATTAGATTCACAAAACAAATTTGATTTGAAACTGGTACATTTGGTGAAAGGGATTGAAAGAGATATGGATGTTATAGACAAAGATCTCTTTTACAACAGCAGAAAACTGACTGAATTGATTTTCTCTAAGAAGATTGAAATAAGATGGAGAATGGATTTATCATACTTTAACTTAAAAACAAGTTCAGTTGGACTGTTGGGAGAAGATAGATCAACAATAGAATAGAATGGATCTATTATATTTAATCAGACAATAATTGATAAGAGATGGTATTAAGACACAATCATGGATATTTGATCCAAGATAAATCAGAATTAACTGTTGGGATGACTGCAGATAAATTAAAGTATAAAGCAATGATACGTTTTCTGAAAGTTGAATACAATAATAGTTTATTAACAGAGGGTTTTGAAATTTTAATCTTATTTTTGGTTTGTTTGTTTATTTGTTGTTCTACCTGTTAACTATTGGGCTGTTAATATAGTATAGAGGACAGATTAATAATTTGTAAATAAAAGTACACATTTGAAAAAAAAATGAGCCTGTATCGCAAAAGATGGGAAACTAATATTATTGTAATATTTCATCAATATTCAATTGGAGGCAGGTAATATATGTACAGTAGAACCTCTGGTCATGAACGCAAACCAAATTGGGTGATGACAAAAATTTCAAAAAAATGTTTGCATCTGGTCGCAAACAAATACTCAGGTGGCAGTCAAACACAGTCATGGCAATTTTCCCTTCCGCAGCATTTTTTTTTTTTTTTTAACATGCATGCACAGTCAGTCTCGCTTCCGGTCACGACCAAATCAGGTTGCTACCAAAGTCATGGAACGGATTATACTCGTGACCGGAGGTTCTACTGTATATATGTTTGTGTTCTTTTAATGTACTTTTTATTGTTTTGCTTGTTTTTTGTTTGTTTGCTTCTATGAATATCTTTTTTTGAGCCTTGTAGTTTAACTTTTGAATAAAATAAAAACCATTTAAAGAAAACGGAAATATTGGTTACATTTTGCATTAGCAGAGACAACCGTTAACTATGTACACGCTGCTGGAAAACAGATTCTTACCTGGGGTGTCACAGTAGTTCTTTCCACCACTGGAAGCAATATTTCCAAATCCTTTTTTATAGGCGTCCCATTTTCTTCCAAAGCCAACACTCCCATCTTGGCGGTTTTGAATTAGAAGCCAACCTGTTCAAAATGATAATTATAGTAACTATTATATAGTCCACTCGCTTGAAATATTTCCATAAAGCTTCATAACTGGAGGGTGAGGAAGGGACAAGTAGCCCTTTGTAGGGTTTCCACTCTGAATGGACTCTCTCTTCTTATCACTGATATGCTTAGTCAATGATGTGCCCTCCCCTTCTAGGCTCAGTCTATTGGCTGGGGGAGGAGGGGAATCCCGACATTTGGAAGTAGATCTTCTTGTTTTTGTCCTTATCATCGTATACATACAGTACTTGAAGAGGTACTGGAATATTATAAAGGAATATTATAGAGGAATATTATAAAGGTGGCAGATCCATAATAGGAAACCATTTTGATTAAGGATACTAGCTTAAGAATTACCTCCATCTTCTGTGGTCATATCACAATACACTTTGAACGGTTTAAAGAAAGGATCAGGTTGAACAAGGTACAACTCAGACGTTTCACCTCCTTTTCTATATATATCTTCACACTCTGCAAACAGAAAATCCATTATCTGTATAGTTTAGTGAGCAACAAAAATGTTCTGAACAGAGGAATAAGTAAACTACAGAAATCTACAATATAATTAAATCTGCATGGGAAAGCTTTAAGATTGTATTTGCGGTAAGCACCTATCAGAAAATTTTCAAGTGTCTGCTTGCTTTTGGGATCTCTGCCTTATCTAGGACGAAATGCATTTTTAGAAATGCTGATTTGGAAACTCTTTCGTATATCCCACAGTAAGGATTGAATTTGGCCATACAGAAGCCATCAATGCTGAGGTAAAAAAAAAACACTATTAAATAAACATGGAACTTATGTAGCCAACTCTCAAGGCTAATGGAAGAACAACCAAACAAGGGTGGAAGGAAAAGGGTCTAGGATGTAAATTTTGAGGCTGATAGTTCTTTATTGCTTTCTTCCACATTAGACAAATCTTATGTGTATACATGACTTCTTTCTAATCCAAACTAATGGAAATTATCAAGCCGTGGCACTTCTATGATTCTTCTGCTGTTTTTGAACGTGGCAATGAGTTTATGGAGTCCAGCTTTTCTGTTGTGTTGTTGCCAAGTCTAACTTCGAACAATGTCTGAATGCGAGCTTTCCTGTGCAGATAAGCCCATGAAATATTTTCACTCTTGGGTCCCTAAATTACTCTAGAACTCATCATTCCCAGAAAGAATGGTTAAGGAATGAAGAGATACTTTTAAAATATGTGCTATTAACTTAAAGTCCTCACATATTCCTCTAGATCAGGGGTGTCCAACCTTGGCAACTTTAAGACTTGTGGACTTCAACTCCCAGCTTTGCTGGCTGAGGAATTCTGGGAGTTGAAGTCCACAAGTCTTAAAGTTG